CCGGGACATCCTCAAATTTTAATGTGTTATGTTTAGCAAGTAAGTTCGCCGGCCCGTCACAAGTACAGACCTGGTCTTTGATAACATAACTAAAAGAGAACCCTGGGCCTACTCCCTTTCCGGGAAGAACGATCATGCGAAAACTGCACAATAATATTGAAGACAAAAGTCAATTACCTCTTGAAACTTTCTTGGGGGTCCTCTTGAAGCTCTCTTGGGAGCCTCTTGGGCCGTCATGAGGCAATGGGGGTGTCCTTGAAGCTTTTCCTGCGTGTTCGAGCCCTTCCTTGGTCGTCTTTGAAGGCAACGTTGGGCGTCTTGGAGGCCATGGAGGGTGGATTTGGACGCTCTGAGGGCCCGGAAGGTGCGTTGAAGGGCTCTGGCCCATCCCCCAGGGTCCCCCCCTCCAACGCGATTTGGACCCCAACTGTTTCACACGCCTGTTCACCCCCCAGCAAGTGGGAGCTTGCGGAGTGAAGCGCTCGTGCGGTTTACATACGCACGTGGGGCTGCCTACCAGTGGGCGCCAGCCATCCATTCGTAGGCAGTTCCTGTTTTGAGGTGCGAAAACGACAGCACTCAGGCGGGCGACCCCCGCATCTCTGCATCGCTGCCTCCACATTCCATCGCGGAGGAAAGCTCCGCATCCTGATGCTGCGCTCCTCCTCGGACTTTTTCCACCTCCACCCGCCCCTTCCTCCGCCTCCGCTCCTCCTCTTCTCGCTCGCCCTCCGGTTCTCCTGAGTCCTCTCCTCGGCACCTGGATGTACATCGGGCTGCGCGACTTTCCAGCGCTCGGCCCTCGCGTTACCGGGTACCGCACGCCGACAACATGTCGCACCGCTTCACGCGCCAGCCTGAAGGCGGTAGAGGAGAAGGGAGGGGGTGGAGGAGGTGGGAGGGAGGAGGCCCCTGGCTCCATCACCCCGTCCTCGTCCTTCCCCCTCCTACCTCTGAAGGCGTCGGAGCCCTCTGGGCAAAGCCGCGTGTCAGCGCCAGACAGCGCCAAGTTCGATTTCCGATGACCAGAGCAACAACGCGCCATGCGTACACATTCCCGCGAACCTTTTGGTGGTTCATTGCCCCGCTAGGGTCCTCGGCCCCCCCTTGGAGATCAACATTTTCTCATATCGATTGGGTGCCAGACTAAGACGGCGACGGCGGGCCCGAAACGATTCGAATTCCTGTTTGCAAAATGTTAGCGAGCGTGGGCCCCAATCGGTACGTTTCGAACAATATTTTCGGTCCACTCTATCCCAGTTTGGGGCCTCTTGAGCAGCTCCTGAAGCTCCATTATAACTGGGCCGTCGGGGGCCTGTCTTGGCTGCCTTGTGCCCTCTTGGGTTGTCTTTCTGCGCTCATCGGGGCTTCTTGGGCCTTCTCGGGGCGATTGTCAAAGTTTCTGAGGCCGCGTGGGGCCGTTTTGGGACCGTCATGGAGACAGGGGGAGAGAGAGAGAGAGAGAGAGAGAGAGAGATAGAGAGAGAGAGTGTGCGTGTGTGTGTGTGTGCGTGGACAACAACATGTGTCTGTCGTGCTACGTAAAAGTTCATACATGTATACACATATATATAGACAGCGTCTATATCTGCGTGAGGGGGCCGAACGGTCATTCTTTGTCCCTGGGTGCTTGGCTAAAGTTGGGATCCGTGGTGACGATTCTGTTTGTTGCGTTGTTGTTGTCGTTGTTGCTGTTGTTGTTTGTTGTCGTCGTCCTCCCAGCGACCTGGCCCGCGACCCACCCGCGACCCACCCAGCGACCCACCCAGCGACCCACCCCGCGACCCAGCCGCGACCCACCCCGCGACCCAGCCGCGGCCCACCCGCGACCCACCCCGCGACCCAGCCGCGACCCACTCCGCGACCCAGCCGCGACCCACCCGCGACCCAACCCGCGACCCAGCCGCGACCCACCCCGCGACCCAGCCGCGACCCACCCGCGGCCCACCCACGACCCACCCGCGACCTGGCGCGCGACCCACCCACGACCCACCGTCGACCCACCCGCGACCTACCTGCGACCCAACCCGCGACCCACCTACATTGTTTTAACAGAAAATTGGCGCCTGCGGCGGGCTCGTTGTATGGTTTGAAAAATTCTAGACGCGTCGCGTATCCCCACCAGCCCGTCCAGAAACGACGCCCAGGCGAGTAGAGGGTCGTCCTGAGGGGCTTTTCGGCGTCTTGGGTGTCTCGGGGGGGCCTCTGTGGGCCGTTCGGGATCCTCTTTGGGGCCTCCTGGGGGCCTCTTGGGGCCTCTTGGGGCCATCTTGGGGCCTTTGGGGGCCTCCTGGGCGCTTCTTGGGGCCATCTTTGCCCCCTCAGGAGGCCAACATGGGGCCAAAATCTCAGTAAAATCAATGATGTTGGCTTCCTTGCCGAGGCCGTTTTGGACGCTCTGACCGCTCGCGGCCCCCCCCGTCCAGGTCCACGGGGAGGGGGTAGGGGGAGGGGTAAACCCCTCCCCGAAGGGAAAGAGGGAGGGGTGGAAGAGGAACCGCCTTGATCAGGGATTGCCTCGATCAGGGAAGTGGACAGCACACAGAGGAAGCCAGTATGAGACATCTTGGGATTTCTTGAGCCATCTTGGAGGTCATTTTGGGCTCTCCGAGGCGCGCTTGGAGTCATCTTAATCAGTGCCCCCCCCCAGAGGCCAACATGTGGCTAAAACCTTAGTGCAAACAATGGTTTGACATTATCGCCGAGGCCTCTGGGAGCACCTTGGGTGCCTCTCGGGGGTCTCTTGGGGCCTCTTGGGGGTCTCTTGGGGGCTTCCTGGGGGCCTCTTGGGGGGCCTCTTGGGGCCATCTTGGGGCCATCCTGCGGCCTCTTGGGGCATCCTGGGGGCCTCTTGCGGCCATCGTGGAGGAAATCGATCAAAGAAGAGGGGAGCTTTAATTAGCGCTGCCCCCCGAGAAGGCCAAAATGGGGCCCAAACCATAGTAAAATCAATGATTTTGGCTCACTCGCCGAGGCCGTTTTGGACGCTCTGACCGCTCCCCGCCCCTCCTGTCCAGGTCAGTGGGGAGGGGGTAGGGGGAGGGGTAAACCCCTCCCCGAAGGGGAAGAGGGAGAGGTGGAAGAGGAAACGCCCTAAACCACTGACGCCCATGGGTTTGGTCTCTGAAGCTGGAAGAGGAAACGCCCCTAAGGTTTGGTGTTGGTCTGGTATGGTATTGTAGGTACGGTGTAGGTATGGTAGAGGAGGAGAAAGAAGAGAAGGAGAAGGAGGAGAAGGAGAAGGAGAGGGTGTTCTAGGACAACAACAACCCCAATCAGGATGTGGGGCACAAGTGTTTCGCCTGATGCATCCTCATAGGAATTCGCAGACAGCACGGGTTCGATCCCCAGGGAAAGTGTAATCTATAACAATATGCTTCCTCGGCCCTTTCGGGGCCTCCCGCGGCCGCCTGTGGTCTCCTGAGAACTCCTGGCGCCTCCTGACGCCTTCTGGGGCCCCCTCAGCATCCAGGGGCCTCTTGGGGGGGCCCTTTGGGCTCTTCTGAAGCCTCCTGGGGTCTCCTGGGGCCTGCTGGGGCCTTCTGGTGCCTCCTGGCCCCCCTGGAGCCTCCTGGGGCCTCTTTGGCCGTCGTGAAGTCTCCTGGGGCTTCCTATGCACTCCTGGGCCAGACGCCATGTTACATACCCCCCCTGAGCGGTTTGGACACGTAATAACACGTGGTCCCAGCTCGGGACAACCATGTTATATATCCCCTGGGGTACACAAAAGCACGTGCTTCCAGCTCGGGACAACTATGTTCGATACCCAACTGTGGCTTGAAATCGTGACAACACGTGGCACCTGATTGGGACAGCGATTTGAGATGCCCACCAGGGCAGCCTGGACACGTAATGGCACGTGGTTCCAGCTCGGGGCAACTATATTAGATACCCCACCTGGGAGGCCTGGGCACGTAAAAGCACATTGCAGATACACGGGCGCCAGACGCATGTTGGATATCCCCTCCGCGCACGTTTTCTACGTATGAAGAGAAACCGACGAAATCATGTTGGGTATCCCCCCTGGGCGCACTTTCCTTTAGCCGGCACGCACGGGGTGCATCTCTTTGACCAAAAAATGTCTCGCACCCTGTGATTTATCGATCGGGATTTCAAACTCACGCGTTTCGCCCGAGACATCCTCAAGCAATAATTCGCCAGCCCTACGCGACCTCGATGATTATTAGAAGATTGACTCGCTGGCCCTATGCAAGTCGAGGGCCGACCCCCGGACCCCCTTACCAACTCAAAGAGAATCCTGGGCCGACGCCCTTCCTGGGGAAAACAAATCTTCAGGCGAAGGAGGGAGGACGGAGGAGCAGACGCGAGCTGCGAGGTTTTCCCAGAAAGGGCTCCAGTCCACTGTCTCCGGTGCCATGTTCGCGTAGGGTCGGCGAATGCGTCCTTCGATGAATAGCGGGGTCGAGGGGGGCCAGCGAATTCATTTGTTGAGGACGTCTCTAGCGAAACGTTTGTTTTTGCAGCATTTGTTGATGCCTCAGGGGGGACGCTTGTCTTTGTTCGCTAGGAACTTCTCGTGCCTATTTGCTGTGACCACCAACGGCCATGACATGATGAATGGATTTCTGACTCTTCCATGAAGTAGACCTGGTCGGGCCCATACCCGTAGGACCTGATTTGCGAGGGTTGCGCATGCGAGTTGCACATGCAGGTTGCGCATGCCTGCTCATACTGTCTGTGGTGCGCAGTGGCGTTCAACCAGATTGGGTCGTGGACAAGCGGCCTTCGGAGGCTTCTTTGGGTCTCTTGTGAGGCCTCTCGGGGGCCGCTTGGTGGCATTGGCTCTCATTTCGTGGAGCGTCCTCAGAAAAGAAGACTTCTCTGCTCCAGTGAGAGTATCGAGCCGACTTCCAGACGATGATCGCGGCTGTCCTGGTCGAAGCCAACAGCATTTGGGCTCAAGGGAGACCGACTGGCAGTATTGTACGCTGCAGTGCATCCGCCTCGATTAGCCCCGGTTTAGCAGCATCGATTGAACCATGGCTCTCGGCAGGCTGGTGTTGAGCGCTCTGGTGGTCTGCTCCGCCGCAGTCCTCGCAGAGGAGGGGACATGCGCTGCCGAGGACGGCTGCGACGAGGTGGGCCTGGCGCAGCTGCGCCGCGCGGAGGCGAGGGTCGCTCTGGCGGTGAACGCATCCAGCAAGTGCTCCATCGGTTGCGATCCCCACTCCAACCCGATTGGCCGCTGCCCTGACTTGTCCGACTGCCCCGCCAGTGGTTGCTGCGACAAGCCGGGTCCGACGCCTGCGCCGACTCCGTCGCCATCGCCACCTTCGGGCCCCTGCAAGGTGGGCTGCGATCCCCACTCCAACCCGATTGGCCGCTGTCCTGACTTGTCCGACTGCCCCGCCAGTGGATGTTGCGACAAGGCAGCTCCGACGCCTGCGCCGACTCCGTCGCCGTCGCCACCTTCGGGCCCTGCAAGGTGGGCTGCGATCCCCACTCCAACCCGATTGGCCGCTGCCCTGATTTGTCCGACTGCCCCGCCAGCGGATGTTGCGACCAGGCGGCCCTGGCGCAGGTGCGCGTGCAAGCGAACGCGTCCAGCAAGTGCTCCATCGGTTGCGATCCCCACTCCAACCCGATTGGCCGCTGCCCTGACTTGTCCGACTGCCCCGCCAGTGGTTGCTGCGACAAGCCGGGTCCGACGCCTGCGCCGACTCCGTCGCCGTCGCCACCTTCGGGCCCCTGCAAGGTGGGCTGCGATCCCCACTCCAATCCGATTGGCCTCTGCCCTGACTCGTCCATTTGCCCCGCCAGTGGATGTTGCGACCAGGCGGCCCTGGCGCAGGTGCACGTGCAAGCGAACGCGTCCAGCAAGTGCTCCATCGGCTGCGATCCCCACTCCAACCCGATTGGCCGCTGCCCTGACTTGTCCGACTGCCCCGCCAGTGGTTGCTGCGACAAGCCGGGTCCGACGCCTGCGCCGACTCCCGGGAGCGGGTGTGCCTCGAACTATTGTTGCTGGTGGCCTCAACCAGGACAGTGCGGCAGTTGTGGCACCGATTGGAACAATCGCGTGTACCTCCCGGGCTCGAACTGCCCGGGCTTCAACGAGCGGTCAGACGCGTATTCGGGCTGCACCAGTCCCGGGACTTGGTGCCGCTAGCTTGACGCGAGAGGCCTAGCACGTTGCCGCCTTGCCGTCGTTGAGGTCTATTGACCAGCTTCTGCAGACCGACCAATCGATTATTCAAGAAACTGACGCCATCCCGCCGACGCCCTAGGAGACACTCGACAAACTGCGTGCGAAGGGGCATCGCACGACGACAACGGCGTTAAAATGTTGCACCTTCTACGCTCAGCCTCCTAGAGGGCTGTCAGATGCGACCTTCCGAGCGCGAGCCTGTAGGTGGACGGGGGGATGAAGGGGGGAGAAAGTATGAGAGGGATGATGGATGACAGGGACGGGTGAACAGGAGGAGGAGAAGGAGGAAGAGGAGGACGACGACGGAGAAGGCACGAGGGGGAGGGGAGTAGAAGGAGTAGGAAGATGAAGACTACGGTGGCTAGAAGGAGGAAGAGGAGGAGGAGGAGGAGGAGGAGGAGGAGGAGGAGGAGGAGGGGGAGGACCAGTGTAAACCCAAGAATCAGCAACGATGTTAGAATAATCCCTCCCTCCAAGCCCCCTCTTCATAGGTCCCTACAGCGAACTGCCTCTTTGGAAGACGACCGTTTGAAAACCCCGAAGCACGCGAACACATTGTTCTCGGGATTCCATCGCCACGGATCACTTTGAGCGTTGCGTCAAGACGGTCCGGAAACGTACCAAAACGCGAGTCTTGGGACTTCGGCACCGCGAGCCAATGTAAGCTTTGCACCCTCATAATCCTGAATCCTTCCACGCCACCATTTCTGGCACTCTGATCATGGGAATCCGTAAAACTCTTGCACGTATTAATCAGGAATGAGTGCGGCGCTAAGGCGAGAGCATTATTTTGAAAAGGAATCGCCCTCAATCGGTGAACTTCTTTCATATTTTTAAGACGAATGCGCGCGGCGCTAGGGCGAGAGCTACATCTGGAAAGCCATCCGCCCTCCATTTGTGAAATTGTTTTTTTTTTGAAGCTTCAGGGTCATAACTAGTGAGGAAGTCTCAGGCGAAACGCCCAGCCCGCCCTAAAAACTGGCCTCGGAGTGCGACAGGGAAAAGTTATTTATCAGGACAAGGAATAGAGGAGGAGGAGAAGGAGGAGGAGCAGGAGGATGGGGATGATGACGCTGATGAATATGATGATGCTGATGATGATGATGCCGATGATTCTGATGATGCTGCTGGTGATGAGTATGATAATGATGACACCGACGACGACGATGCTGATGCTGATGATGATGATGATGATAATCACGATGCTGATCCCGCTGTTGACGTTTATACTGCGGATGCTGCTGATGATGATAATGGTTTGGAGGAGGAGGGTGAGGAGGTGGAGGAAGATGAATACGAATAGGAGTATGATGAGGAGGAGGAGGATTAGGAAGACTATGATGACGAGCAGGAGGATGAGGATGAGTAGGATGAGGAGAATGAGAATGAGGAGGAGTAAGGGTGATGATGACGACGATGATAAGGTTGATGATGATGATGATGACGATGATGGTAATGCTGCTGATGCTGATGCTGATGCTGATGCTGATGCTGGCGCGGATGATAATGATGATGCGGATGATGATGATGCTGATGACAACGATGAGGATGCTGATGAGGATACTGATAGTGATGCTGTTGATGATGATGCTGATGTAGGCGTGGATGATGATTGTGGTGATGATGGTTATGATGAGGATGCGGATGCTGGTGATGATGACGATGATGATGAGGATGAGGATGAGGATGATGATGCTGATAATGATGATGATGGTGATGATGATGCTGATGATAAGGATGATGGTGATGACACTGATGCTGGTGATGATACTGATGTCGATGATGATGATGCTGATGCTGTTGCTGAGTATGATGCAGATGATGCTGATGATGCTGATCATGATTATGATGGTGACGAATCTGATGAGGATGATGATGCTGATGATGATGATGGGGATGAGGATGATGATGGTGATGATGAGATGAGGATTGTGATGTGGATGATGATGATGCTGATGATGATGATGATGATGACGATGATGATGATGATGATGATGATGATGATGAGGATGAGGATGAGGATGAGGACGATGACGATGGCGATGATGATGGTGATGGTGATGGTGATGTGGATTATGTGGATTATGTGGATGAGGAGGGGGAGGATGACGCGGATGGTGAGGAGGGTGAGGCGGAGGAGGGTGACGACGACGAGGCCTTTTGGGAGTCTTGTGGGGTCTGTTACTTGCTTTTCGGTGGCTCCCTTGAGGCCTCCAGGGTGGCGCTTGGGATCCTTTGGGAGGCTCTTTGGGGGCCTCTTGGGCCCCCCGGGGGCTGCTTGGGGGCGTGTTCGGGGTCTTGGGGGCCATCTTGTGGGGGAGGGCTCCCTGAGACCCTTCGTGCTCCTCCTTGTTCCCCTCTTGGGGCCCCCTCCTTGGGGCCTCTTGGGCCGTCTTGGGGGGCTCTCGGGGTTTCAAGGGGCCCTCTGGGACCGTCTGTGGGTTTCTTGGGAGCCTCTTGGGCCGTCCTGAGCCGCCCAGGGTCTAGGGGGCTTCTCGGCTCGTCTTTCTGTTTTCATACGCCACAAATCGCAAGACAGCTCGCCGCTTTGGCCCCATTGCCAGCCCAAGCGGCGAGCATATGTCGAGCGTGGCCCCGCGCGCGTTGTGACGTCCAGCCAGTCTGGGCCCTTTCGGTGTGGTCGTCGTCTTTTGGCGTCGTCGTTGTGGCGGTGGTCGTCGTCTTCGCCGCCTTTGCCGCCGCAGCCGCCGTCGTCGTCGTCGTCGTCGTCGTCGTCGTCGTCGTCGTCGTCGTCGTCGTCGTCGTCGTCGTCGTCGTGGTCTTCGTCGTGATCGTCCCGGTCCTGCACCTCCCTGTCGTCCACCTCGTCTTCGTTGTCGCCGTCGTCCTCCTTCTGGCCGTCGTCGTCGACCTCCTCCTCCTCTGCCTCCTCCTCCCCGTCGTCCTCGCGTTCCTCCCCGCCCGATGTAGGTGCGCCACAGGTCGCGCGCTCACCCGTCGAGACTGACGCGGCCGCCCAGCGGATGCGCCCCAAGGTTGCGCCAATTGGTGGCGCCCTCGGCCGCCGAGAAAAACACGGCCTCCCATCGGTTGCGCCACAGGTTGCGCCTCGGCCGCCGAGAGTAAAACGTCCTCCTATTGGCTGCGTCGTAGGTTGCGCCTCCCGGCCGCCGTGAAAAAAGCACGGCCTCCCGTTGGTTGCGCGATTGGTTGCGCCCTCGGCCGCCGAGAGTAAAACGTCCTCCTAGTGGCTGCGCCATAGGTTGTGCCCCGGGCCGCCGAGAATAACATGGCACCCCATTGGTTGCGCCGTCGGTTGCGCCCTCCGCCGCCGAAAATAAAGCGTCCGCCGATTGGTTGCGCCACAGGTTGCTCCCTCGGCCGCCGAGCGTACAACGTTTTCCGAACAGGTGCGACCAGACACTCAATTCAGTTCAGTCAATTCAGTCAGTTACCTCGCCACAAACAACTTGGGGTTACGCCCGAAATGGTCGACCCTACGAACCCGGGAAATAATATAGACATGTAAGGCATGGCGACGCTTCAAGAGCACCTGATGGGCGACGAGCAAACCCGATGCTGAATGTATCGTTCTTGTCGCACCGTGCCGAGGGCCGTGCTGTGCTGCGCCGTGCTGAATTGCGATGCGCCATGCCGCGATTGTGCTCTATAGCGTAGTGGATCGAGTGCCCCTTTGCATCCGAGTCCTGACCGAACTGATCTGGATCTTAAGCTCGAGCTGCCTGGGTACATAGTAGCTGCCCCAGATCTAGTTGTCAGGAGGACATGCCAGGAGGGAACGCCACAGAACGTCCCAAGGGACGCGCCAGGCGACGTCCCTGGGGACGTGCCGTGGGGACGCACCGCGGGACGTGCCAAGGGGACGCGCTACAGAACGTGCCAACTGCGATGTGCCATGCCTCCTGGTGCCCTCTGGTGCCTCCTGATGCCTCCTGGAGCCTCCTGGGGCCTCCTGGGGCTCTTTGTAGCGTTAGGAACTTATGTGTTTTTGCACTTTTCCCGCCCAGGGGTGTTAGGGACCCAAATGTTATTTCGCGCTTGTCCCGCCCTTGGGCGTTAGGGGCCAATGTGTTTTCACGCTTCTCCCGCCCCGGGGCGTTGGGAACCCACGTGTGTTCAGGTTTGTCCCGCCATGGGGCGTTAGGAACCAATAAGTTGTCACGTTTGTCCCGCCTTTGGGCATTAGGAACCATTCGTTTTCACGCCTGTTCCGCCCCAGGGCGTTAAGAACCCATGTGTCTTCACGCTTCTCCCGCCACGGGGCGTTAGGGACCCATGCGTTTTCACGCTTCCCCGACCCTGGGGCGGGCAACCATGTTAGATATCCCCCTGGGTGGCTTGGACATGCAAAACAACACACATGGCTCCAGTTCGGGGCAACCATGTTAGATACTCCCCTGCGTGGCCTGGATACGCTGAGTTCGCGCTCCCGCTCGAGACATCCTCGCAATGGCTTCGTTGGACAGGCCCCCAAAACGCCACCCCCTGTCCTGAGCAAGAACACGTTCTGTTAATTGGGATACGTGTTCGCGTAGTGCTTTTCGGCGCCCCGTGCGTTTCCTGATAATTCGGCGTTTGACCTGACGCCATGTTATATACCCCTCTGGGCGGCCTGGACACGTAAAAACACATGGTCCCAGTTCGGGGCAATCATGTTAGATACCCCCCTGGATGGCCTGGACACGTAAAGCCACGTGGATCCAGCTCTGGGCAGCCATGTTAGATGCACCCCTGGGTGGCCTGGACACGTTAAAACACATGGTCCTTCTCGGGACAGCCATGTTCGATACCCTCATGGGTGGACTGGACACGTAGAAACACGTGGCGCCAGCTCGGGGCAACCATGTTAGATATCCCCCTGAGTGGTTTGGACATGCAAAGACACATGGTTCCAGCTTGGGGCAACCATGCTAGATACTCCCTTGCGTGGCCTGGATACGCTGAATTTGCGCTCCCGCTCGAGACATCGTTGTAACGGCTTCCT